CACCTCTCAAGTTCAACCGTAGAATGCCTTGCCTTACGCGTTTCGTAGGGTTAGCCCTACTTCATCAGACGCTTGTACTCTCCCTTATTGGCAGTAGTTTATATACCTTAAGTGAATTACTATCAATCAACTTGTTTTCAAATTTTCGTTACATTTTTTAAATATTTACAGAATCATCAAGCATATATTATTCGGGTGAAAAAGGATGAACAGAAATGTATGAATAAAAGATTTGATATAGTGCAAATGTTAATATTAGCGGTTTAACAATAATTTCTAGCCTTTAATAGAATGAATTGTCAATATATGTGAAACCACTAACTTGACTCTCAGACATATATGTTCAAATGATCACATACAATACATGTATATTTTCAACTTGATGCATGATAAAGATGGTAAATGTTACATAAAAATACATATAATACATACAATTACTAGTGTGAAATATACTTATAAATGAGATCAACAAACAGGAGGGATAATACGTTACACTAAAGAATTTTACTTTAACAGCTAGTTTCATCTTGCAAGTCCTCATAACTTATTTTATACTCTGAGTATCAATTTTGCATACAAGGTATATATATTTTCATCTAAGTTGGTAGGGAGTGATCCATATAGCTGGGAATAAGTACACATGTTGTAGTGAAGAGGCTTACAAGTGAAGCAAATATTACAGTTACGCTATAGTGAGGATTCACTTTTGGCGACTGTTAGCAAGTTTCAGATATTATTCACACATCTATGAATCCTTTAGATATTATATGCATATCATATAGTTGTGAAACACAAATTGTATAATGAGAACCTGATAATAAATATATCCAAGTAAATAGAAAGTAAAAAAGGGAGAAGAAAGAACAGTTTGAGATATGGGTTAGAATGTGTGGTATGATTACAATAGAATACTATATACCAATATCTATTAGAATAACCAGATGTCTCTTGTGAGATTCCTTATCCCTAGTTAGTAACCTAAACGTGAAGATGTACTTTATGTAAGACAGACCATAAAATAGTGAGAGGAATAGGAAGTAGTGGTGGTGTGCTTTCCATATGCAAAGTTTTTCTTAAATCTAAGATCTTACATCATAAAATATAATCCCGCAGCCCGTTTTTCGCTATGACGGTTCAGGACCGTCAGCGGTCCAAACGCACGTTTTACCGCTGACGGTCCTGAACCATCAGCGATCCTGAATGGGTTAATGAGCACTTCTCCTTTGCCGAGATAATCAATCCACCTCACAGGTGTGACACATCAAGATGCTGTCTAGACAGCATGATTATTGCACAGGTGTGCCTTAGGCTGGCCACAATAACAGGCCACTTTAAAATGTGCAGTTTTACTGAAATGGGGTGGTCCGGGGAGTCCGAAAACCAGTCGGTATCTGGTTTATTGTGGCCTGCTTAAGTTACACCTGTGCAATAATCATGCTGTCTAATCAGAATCTTGATATGCCACACCTGTGAGGTGGATGGATTATCTCGGCAAAAAAAAAAGTGCCCAGTAATACAGATTTAGACAGATTTGTGAACAATATTTGAGAGAAATAGGCCTTTTGTGTACGGAGAAAACATCTTAGATCTTTGAGTTCAGCTCATGAAAAATGGGGGCAAAAACAGAAGTGTTGCATTTATAATTTTGTTCAGTGTATAATGCAAATATGTCAATATGTTGTTCAAAAACAGCTGTCATATCCCACTGCCATCTTTCATAATCCAAACTGGCATCACCAGTGTTCCTTCTCAGCACTGAATTTAATCTATTCAATTTCTACGCTAACTTTAAAATATGCACCACCACTTATTGCAGGTTATCAGGGTTTCAGCATGTGTCTACTTTTTGGAGATTTACAATTTAGAAGACTAGTACATAGTTTTTTAGTTAATATACAACAACTTTGAATTGCCTTACCCATACATCTTTTTATGGCCATACCCATAAGGACAACTAAAATCTTTACATGACATGGGTTTGTAGATTGCAATAAGTTTACATTTAATCTTAAAGTGACACTATAGTCACCAAAACAACTTTATTGTAATGAAGCAATTTTTGTGTATAGATCATTACCCTGCAGTCTCACTGCTCATTTTTCTACCATCTAGAAGTTAAATAATTTTTGTTTCTGTTTATGCAGCCCTAGTCACATCTCCCCTGGCTGTGACTCACACACCCTGCATGAAAAAAAATGGTTTCATTTTCCATCCGATGTTAACTTACTTTAGAATTTTGTATCTCCTGCTCTGTAAATTAAACTGTATTCCAACACAGGAGACTTTGTCAAGGTCGAGCTGGCAATTAACAGTGCAGGAAATAGGAAATTCAAAATTAAATGGAATGTGCAATGGAGAAAGCTTAAACATTAGATCTCACTTTACAGAAAGCGGTTAGGAAGGCTGTGTAAGGGCTGCATAAACAAAGTGATTTATCTCCAAATTACAGTAAATTGAGCAGTGAGACTGAAGGGGCAAGATCTATAGATCAAAACTGCTTCATTAAGTTAAATTGTTTTAGTGACTATAGTTTCCCTTTAACTGAGCTGGTAACTTATAGAGAAGTGTAAAGATATATAGCACAGACATGGGACTTTGGGAACACTGGTCATATCTTAGAATATCACTGCCTCTATACAAATAATTTTGTCATAAACCATGTAAAATATGGCCAGTGTTTTCTTCTGAATTCTTGCCTGACGTTAAGTTAACCTTTAAATAAATAAGCTCAACTGAATGACAGCCTGTTTATCGTGCTAGTTCTCTTTTGTTTATTGTTATACCCTTAAAATAAAAAATAAAGGGAATGCATTAGTTATGCAGGAAATAAAACATCTTTGAACCCCTTCAATTGTTCTTTTTATGTTGGTATTTCAGTCACATGTTCATACTTAATATACTGGAATATTTTCATTGTACACATGTACACATAGTTATGACAGCTGAGGATTCCCCAAGGAGATTGACCATGCAGTATCTCATTATGTGGAAAGCAGTTGCGAGCATCTGTTTCTAAAACATGCAGCTGTTGTTGCTTCCAGCAACTGTCACATATTTAAAGTTGATTTTCACACACTTCATCATGCATTTGATCATAATTGTATCCACTATAACAAAGAATTTCTTGTAGGCCGAAAGCTTTAGAATTTAAAGCAATACTTCTCTAGTATTCCTTATGTTCTTCTGTATTTATATCTGTTTATTTATTTTGAGAAGGAATAGGATAAAATTAGAAAAAGAGAATCAGAAGATCAGTAGAAAAGTCATCTATGAGCAATCTTAGATCTGAGGAATAAGGTGAAGAATGGTTATAAATGTGAGTATCTGTAGGAAGAAATATATCTGCCCTTTCTATCTCATAGAAATGTCATACCAAAAAAAAACAAAAAAAACAAAAAAAAACAGAACGTCAGTCTTTGAAAGTTAACAAAATTTAAACAACCCAGTTGATATTATCAATACTGAGAATGGCAACAATATATATATATATATATATATATATATTGACACTAGAACGTATTGCCAAATCGTGCTAGAAGCAACCATGAATTCAACATTGCTAACATTTTGTAACTAGTGATGTCCCGAACGGTTCGCCACGGACTCATCATTGAGTAAACTTTGACCCTGTACCTCACAGTCAGCAGACACATTCCAGCCAATCAGCAGCAGACCCTCCCTCCCACACCCTCCCACCTCCTGGACAGCATCCATTTTACATTCATTGTGAAGCTGCATTCTTAGTGAGCTGTCCAGGAGGTGGGAGGGTCTGCTGCTGATTGGCTGGAATGTGTCTGCTGACTGTGAGGTACAAGGTCAAAGTTTACTCAATGAGGAGTCCGTGGCGAACTGTTCGTGGCGAACCGTTCGCGAACCGTTCGGGACATCACTATTTGTAACCATACATTCACTATTTAATGGACTCTTCTTTGTGAAGACAGCTAATGGCAATGTTCAAAGTAATTGCTATCAAAATAAAGTTTGTTTTTTATTCTATTTGTGTCATTTTATTTTTCATTAATTAGGCATAATTTGTTGGAACCAGGATGGTAAAGTGATGAGGGATTTCTGAAAATCACAAGAATATAGGATGGCAATGAATTGGTGAGGGACCTAAAAAAACAAAATAGACAAAACAAACAAACAAACAAACAAGCATCTCATACAATCTCATATCCCTTAAACTAATATAGAAAATATGAAAATTTACTGTCCTGTATAACTCACGTAAATGGCACAAAAAATCCATTCACATTGTAAAAGTTCTAAACCATAAAAGCTGAATTTGTTGACTTTTTAGCAAAGGTTGTTAAATTACTATAGAATCAATAAATATAGAGACATACATAAAGAATTAAAAAAAAAACACACCTCTTCAGTTGCTGTTGATAAAGTCATGTAAACACAATGGCTGGGTACAAATATAATCATGCTACTCTAATGACAAAAACACTTTATCAAACACTAACCAATTCATACATGGGGTTATCCGCTAAACTTGGAAAATTTGTTAAAGGGACAGGTTTTTTTTACAGAACGGCTGAAATTCAAAATAGCCACGTTAGAGTTTTTTTTCAATTCCCTGTAATTGCCTTGTTAGGTTTTCTCCATTACTTGGATAGTATATGTAGACAAACAGATATTTAAACAGACATTGCTGGTTGAATAATGTTTAACTTTGGTTTTCTTTGATTTGCCACACATGGGATAATAATAGAAGAGAATTACAATACATGCAGATGAGGCAGGTTAATGCACAAATTCAGTGCTTCTTTCCCTTTTCTTCTACATAGAAATCAGTTTTAATCAAAGAAAACCTATGAATGCTTTAATATATTTGGTCTCCATCCTAATTCGTGAAACTCGATAATACATGGCAGCATTTACTCATGGGTTAGCTCCTCCCCTCACAGCAGAAAGGACAGGAAAGAGAACTCTTCTGTTGTTGACAATGTGTGTCTACTATTTTTGAACAGTGTTTTAGTTTTTTATGAGGTTCACTGTGAAAAACTCCCCTCTCCAAGTGAGTTTGCCACAAGCTCTTAGAGGAGCCTGCTTGCCAGCCTCCTGCCCACAGACTGTAAAAACCTGTAAAAAACTACCAAACTTGACCGACAGTTAGCACTGATTTCATGGAACTGTTTTGGACATAGGACCATGTGCACCGTCGGTCAAAATTATGACTTCCAGGAAATTCCTGAACCCCTGAACTGATCTGGGTGATTTTTTGATATGTTGTTAACCCAGATTGGGGCTATCAGGGGATGTAACATTTGTGGTGGTTATAATGTGTTCTGGGGTACTTTTGGGGCTATTTAGAAATGTATGTTTTTTTCTGTGCTTGGAGATTCTTGGATTAGAATTAGTACAGTTACTGATCCAATTATCTCCCAAGCAGAGGGGAGGGATTGTGTGTCATGTGTGGGAGTGCCTTACATTGTAAATTTGTTAATATTGGTTTCTATCTATTCCAGCTTACACTGTAAAACTGTGTGTCATCCTGTTGTTGGAGGGAAAGAAGATTTACTCCTGTGTCTGCTGTTCTAGCTTGCAGGGGATTCAACCTGGAAGATAGACACTAGATTCCTTTATTTTCCCATTTAAGACCTAAGTGTTACTTAGGGCTCCGGTATATTTTTAAAAATTTAAAAAAAAAAAAAGAATTGTGTTGGCCTTAAATTTAAATCTCTCTTGATCCAACATTACACACTTATTGGATAACTGTATGCTTTTGCAAGAATGTCGGATAATCCATATCAAAAATGTTATATGCATTCATTGTGTAAGAAAAGGCCATTCACACATGAGCTGTCACAAGTGATGGCTGATAAGAGGTGTGGAGCTGAACAATAGTGGTCTTGTGACATGCCTTCCTGGAGCTATTGCTCACAGACATAGGAGACGTATTTGTAAAATTGGTAAGTGAGCAAGGCAGGAAGGGGAATTGGATGTACTTGTCCATCTAGGGATAAATTACTTGGCTTGCAATGAAGTTTCAGAGGTAAAGGAAGTTTTTTGTGTTTTTGCCAATGATATACGACAGGTTGCTTTCACACAGTCATTCTCTGAAGTTTTGCCTGTGCATAAAACTCAGAACGACAGGTGGATGCATATTAGGAAACTTGTTGCTTGGTGAATGGTGTCGGGAGCAAGGATTTAGCTTCATTTCTGATGGTAGCTCTGTTTGGAATGGAAATAAACTGTACAAAAAGATGGTTTGCATCTTTCTCAAAAGGGAACAGATGTTCTCAGTGAGCAATTCAACATTTTTGCTGGGATGTATTTAAACTAGGAGGGGGGCAAAAGGGTGATAAAACATCAATCCAATTGCCCCCCAAAACAAGGACAGAAGGTGCCTGTAGCTAGTGCATTAAAAAAAATGACAAGCTTAGAGTCATGTCTACAAATGCTCGTAGTTTAGGGAATAAGATCCATGAACTTGTGGCAATAATGGCAACTGATAATGTAGATTTAGTCACTGTTACTGAGACATGGTATAATGAGAAAAATGACTGGGACATAGCAATACCAGGATACTCTTTCGATAGAAAACACAGAAAAGGCAATAAGGGGGAGGGGTGGCCCTGTATGTGAAGGATAGCATAAAATCTAGCCTAATAAAAGTTAGTGAGGTGAACATAGAGTCCGTTTGGGTTAGAATTTGGTAATCACACAGTAACTCGTGTAGGTGTGATTTATAGGCCCCAAGAACAAATAGAAGAGTTAGATAACCTACTAGTTGAGGAAACAGCTAAAATGACAATGAATGGGGAAGTTATCATCATGGATGACTTTAATCTTCCTGATGTGAACTGGAAAACCAAAATAGCTGCTTGTGCCAAGAGCACACATATTCTAAACTCCCTACTGGGATTGCCTCAAAAACAAGTTGTTGAGGAGCCAACTCGTAAAGATCCCAAACTAGATTTAGTATTAACAAATGGAGATTTGGTATCAGATATTACTGTAGGTGAAAGTTTAGGATCCAGTGATCATCAGTGTCAGGATTACTGTTTGATCCAGCACGTAGAACTGTATAGCACGGATGACAAATAAGTCCCACAGAAAGGGACGCAGTGATGAGGAAAGCCAGGAGTCAGGATACCAGAATATAGAGAAGTCAATAAACAAAGCCAAAGTAAAAAAACAGGCAGAAAACTATAAACAGGAACACGCTCTCGGACAACCACAAGGGAAACCATGACAGGGCACTGAGCAGGATGAGAACTGGGCCTAAATATCCCTCGTCTAGATCTGGTAGGCTCTAACCGGTCCTTGACCCCAAAGTCAGTTACCAGGTTTCATTTGCATAATTGCTGCTCAGCATTAACCCTTCTGTGGATTAGGTTGCTGCTTGGCACAACTTTTCTTGTGTGGACAGTAAATGTCATTAACCACATTTTTATAAGCGGATGAATACGTGACAATCAGTCAGTGTGGTTTAATATAAGAACAGTGACGGAGTCACACCACACAAAAAAAAAAGTTTTAGACTTTAGAAAAACAAACTTTTCTAATATTAGAATATGTGTAAAGGAGTCATTATCAGACTGGAGCAGTTTAAATGGAGTCCAAGAGAAATTGATTATTTAAAAGTTGCACTGCTGAAGGCAACAGAAAATTGCATTAGGCTTGTCGGTAAAAGCAAAAAAATTTAAGAACCACTGTGGTGCTCTGTAGATGTGGCCAAAATAGTAAAAAACTAAAAGTTAGCATTAAACAAATATAAAAAAAATACCCAGAGTGAGAAAGATAGACAAATCTATAAGATTAGACAGAAAGATGCTAAGCAAGTTATAAGAGCTCCCAAATCACACATAGAAGAGAAAATAGCACAGTCAGTAAAAAAAGGGGACAAATCATTTTTTTAGATACATAAATGAGAATAGGAAAGTAAAACAATGACTAGTTAGATTAGAAACAAAAGAAGGAATGTATGTAGAAGAGGATAAAGGTCTAGATGACTGCCTTGATAAATATTTTTGCTCTGTATTTACATATGAAAATGAAGGAAAGGGACCTCGGTTAGGAAAAAGGACAAATTAGTAATTTGCTACATGTGAATTTACAGAGGAAGAGGTTCTATTTCAAATGTCAAAAGTAAAGACAAATAAGTCAATGGGGCCTGATGGAATACACCCAAAGTTATTAAAAGAGCTTAGTGGTGTACTAGCAAAACCATTAACAGATTTATTTAACAAATCATTGTTAACAGAAGTAGTCCCAGAAGTCAGCAAATGTTATGCACATTCACAAGAAAGGTAGTAGGGAGGAGTCGGGCAACTATAGGCCAGTAAGCCTTACTTCAGTAGCGGGGAAAAATGGAAACCATGTTAAAGGATAGGATTGTTGAACATTTAAAATCACATGGATTTAAAGGTCAGAGACAACATGGGTTTACTTCAGGGAGATCATGCCAAACTAATCTTATTTTTTTTTTATTGGGTAACTAAAATAATAGATCAGGGGGGTGCAGTAGACATTGCTTACCTAGATTTCAGTAAGGCTTTTTGACACTGTTACAAATAGAAGGCTTATCAATAAACTGCAATCTTTAAGTTTAGATTCAAATATTGCTGAATGGGTAAGGCAGTGGCTGAGTGACAGGCAACAGAGGGCTGTAGTCAATGGAATATATTCGAAGCATGGGTACCTCAGGGATTTGTACTTGGACCCATTCTCTTAAATATTTTTATTAGTGATAATGCAGAAGGTCTTGATGGTAAGGTATGTATTTTTGCTGATGATACTAAGATATGTAACAGGGATAAAGGATAAGCCAAATGGCAAAGGATTTAGGTAAACTAGAAAAATTGTCAGAGTTGTTGCAATTGACATTTAATGTGGATAAGTGCAAGATAATGCATCTTGGACATAAAAAAACAAGGGCAGAGTACAGAATATTTCACAGAGTCCTAACCTCAACATCTGAGGAAAGGGATTTAGGGGTGGTTATTTCTGATGACATAAAGGTAGGCAGACAATGTTATAGAGAAGCAGGAAATGCTTGGTTGTATAAGGAGAGGTATTAGCAGTAGAAATAGAGAAGTGCTCATGCCATTGTACAGAACATTGGTAAGACCTCACTTGGAGTATTGTACGCAGTACTGGAGATGGTAACTCCAGAAGGATAATGATACTTTAGAGAGAGTTCAGAGAAGGGCTACTAAACTGGTTCATGGATTGCAGAATAAAACTTACCAGGAAAGGTTAATGGATCTTAACATGTATAGTTTGGAGGAAAGATAAGACAGGGGGATAGGAAACATTTAAACACATAAAAGAAATCAACACTGTAAATGAGGAGACTATATGTAAAAGAAGAAAAACTTCCACAACAAGAGGACAAAGTCTTACATTAGAGGGGCAAAGGTTTAAAAATAATATCAGGAAGTATTACTTTACTGAGAGGGTGGCGAATGCATGGAATAGCCTTCCAGCTGAAGTGGTAGAGGTTAACACAGTGAAGAAATTCAAGCATGCGTGGAATAGGCATAAGGTTATCCTAGCTATAAGATAAGGCCAGGGACTCACAAAAGTATTTAGAAAATTCTGCAGACTAGATGGGCCAAATTGTTCTTATCTGCCGTCACATTCTATGTTTCTATATTTCTATGATATATTGTAAAATATGGCACCCCAAACTTAATCAATATTCAAGTTTGCTGATTGACATTTTCATGAACACAGGTATAAAAAATAGCAAATAAAACTCTAAAAGAGGGACGTTTGATAAATAAAGTGCTTGTTAATTTTTACAAAGTGAATAGCAGCTTTTGTGTGGAAATACCTTATCAGCCACACTACAATTGAATCGAAAAACCATGTTATAGTCAATTGAGGAAGCGCGAGAGAATGAAACACATTTTGGCATCAGTTTGAAGGACTTATTTATTTGTTAAGTGCAAGATTTCTTTTATATTCACTACTTGTGATTAGCTGTTGTGGCACTTTTATTGTTTAATTTAAATCAATACTTACATAGTAATATCCATTGTCCTATCCTGACCTTCAGTTCCAGGAATCATCTCTTTGGATTTTTGCCACCACACCAAGTGGCATCAAGTATTCAGGACCTAGAGCCAGGATCCATTGTCTCTAGAAAAGGTGAGCTCAATTCATCTTTTACTTTTGAATGTGCAAAGTTAATGCCTATTACACTATTAGAGTTATTTTTTTCACCCTCAGTTTAAGCTTGGCATCCTATCCATGGGAAGGTGTATTGCTGCCTGAAGAACATAATTACCTGGTAATTTCAGGCTCAGATTCATATGAGTGTCATGATTACAAGTTGATCCAGCACGTAGAACTGTATCGCACCTAGGACTAACAGGTAACATCTTACTGGGCCTTAGAATGGTTGGACTTAACGTACCAAAGAATAGTCAGAATACTTGCCGAGGTCAGGGACACAGAATGAGACACAACGCTAAGGGGAAGCCAAAAGTCAGGGATACCAGAATACAGGGAAGTCTAACAAAGCCAAAGTCAATAACCAAAAATAAACGTTCAGAAACACACTCTCGGACAACCACTAGGGAAACCACGGCAGGACAATGAGGAGAAGCAAGAATGTGTTTAAATAAGTCCTTTACAAATCTGATTGGCCGAAATTGGCCTTTGACCCCAGAAAGGCCGTGCGCGTCTCCCGTGTGACATCATGCGCACGCTGACGTTGTCATCAACGTGGGCGGATATGGGGCTATAATTTGGCGTGGCTCTGCAGTGGCCGGCGTCCATCAACATGCTGCAGGAGTCAGGTACACTGACGCATGGTTGCTGAGCGCAGATACTGTAAGGGGAGCATGAATATGTTACAATGAGAGGGTCTATTTGTCCCTTAATATAAAAATCCTTGTTATAACCATCTATGCTATATTTGTTTTTTTCCCCCTCTTTTTATGTGTATGATGTATATCCTTGCCACATTTATGTAATATAGGGTTAAGGACATTGTGTGTTCCTAATTCTTAGCATTCCACTGTGTTCACTTGTGTCACAGATATATCAAGATTAATAGTATCTATTGTATTAAAGTACATTTTAATATTGTTACTAAGACTAAGAAATTACAAAAAGTGGGAGGTCCTTTTTTAATTATTATGTTTACAGCATTTAAAGAAGTTCTTTAGACTTAGTAAAGGGAGAATTTGTATTTCCAAAATTAAATTAGTCTTAAAGGAAATGTTTTAAGACACTGCTTTACTTTCTTTTTTTTTTTTATCTTAAATCTGTATCACGTTAATACTATGGCTATTTACAGACATTGAATTAAAGTAAAGTTTTGGATATTCTTCTTGTCTTTAAAAATATATAAGGATTAAAAGGTCATTTCAAAGTAAAATTTTGAAATGTTATGACTTTTTAGAAATGAATACTTTTAGTTGAAGAAATGTCACTACTTCATTGGTATTCATACAATATGCTAAATAAAGTCCTCAATTATATTTTTCAGTGTTACACACTTCTTGTCAGAAATCTGCAGCAAGAAATATATATATATAAATATATATATATGCAACCTGGTCACATGCACGGTTACCTACATCACATGCACGCTCTAACGTGGCTTCCTCACTTCCGGGTTCTTCGGCCCGCCGGCTGTTCGATCACCTAATTTGTAAGCTTTATTTCACTTATAAGTATATATTGCTAAAGGTATTAATGTTTCACTGTGATCTCGATAAAGACCCCAGGAGGGTCGAAACGTCGATATTTTACTCTGCACAGAATATGTATTACTTGATGATACAGTAAATTATTTTTTTCCACTGAGAAGAAGTCCTAGTGTGCTACCTTTACACTTCAAATATATATATATATATATATATATATATATATATATATATATAAAACAATAATAATTATAAAATCATAAAAAGTATTTCACCTATAACCGTGCATTTACTAACGCTATTATAACATACTTGATGGTTATGTGAACTTTGAATGAATTATTTCCAAATCTGTTGTTTTCCTTATTTTTTTTTTTGTATGTTTAAAGATCGATTTAAATGGTATATTTTAAATAACTTTTAGCTTTCCAATAAAAATGTTAAAGCTGTTATTTAATTATATTTATGTTGAATGCTTTGCAAATCAGGAACTGCTTAAATTGTTAAGTGAATACAATCTAATATCAAACAAAAATGTTTCATAACATAATCAGCTGTGGCTAAAAATGTCATTTACATTTAGATGAAATAGTTGTACTGGAGAAATATGGAATGAAGTGCAAAATAAAAGGAGCTGGGATTTCTGAAGCCGATATATGCTATTGCAAGGGAATTGAAATTGATTTTGAATTAATTTGACCTGTCTGCTCTCCATTTCTTTTTTTCTTCTATGCATTGTGTGACCCAAACTGACCCACTCAATCAATGTTTACTATTCAAAATTCAGACCAATACGGAAGTTTACTTAAGTAAGTTAATGGTCAAATGTAGATTGACATGATTTATCCTATATGGTTTTAAAAGGACCCCTAGGTTATACGCCGTCTTGGGCCACTGCTGGACAAATTTCTTTCCTTGACATTTTTCAGATAATTCTCCTTCTTATAATACCTTGAATCTAAATTGAGTCAATTATTTTCATCTTAAGAGGCATTTACCACAGTAAATCAAAATGCCCAAAGCATTTGAAACTTTAATGATAAATAAAAATGTACTTTTGGACATCTGTACTGAATCATTGATTTTGTGTTCTTGAAACTTACATAAAAATTGAAAATATAAAGAGGCCTCGTTTAACTGAAGGTTACTTTTATATTTCTAGCTCCACGTCTGCAACAAATTGATTAAATTTTTGCATGCTATAAACTAAGCATATTATATATTTTTTATATTATTAATTATTATTTTTAACATTTAAAAGATACACACAGGTCCAGGTGTAGAGGTGGATAACCCCTGAATCACCTGGTGATATTAGTGCAGCGATGTATATTTGGAACTCACCCTTCAAAATTATTGGGGTGGTTGGAGTCAGACATATAAAGACTGGGAGAGAACACAAATATTTATAGTGTAATACTATTAACACAATAAGTGGTGAGAAATGGTGAGTGATAACAAACTCACATGGTCAGGAGCCTTAAGGCATAGGCTCCAAACTTTAACGCTGGTATGTTTTTAGGTAGCATACAACCCCTTTAAGCCTTCTGAATGGGTAGTTGTTTCCTCTGTATGGGATATATATTAGAAGAAAGAGTGGAGACATATATACTAAGCGTAGTGAGTTAAACACTTTATAATGAGTAAAAAAAATTTTTTAGGTGTGCTCACCTTGCATAGAGCCTTCCAGACTGGCTCTAAGTACAAGAGTTTATCTGTCTGTTCAGGGTGACACCTTCCCTTAGATACCCGGCAACACTGGAACTGGATCCGTTTCTTTAAATGCACATACGTGCTATTTATTAGTAAAAAACAAATGAAAATACTAGTATATATTAAAAACAAATATAAAAAGAATTAGTGATGTAGCTGGATCCTCTGAGACGAGTTTCTCCTATATGGATAGGCTTTCTCAATCGGTCATAATGTTGGTTCTGGGTTCTGCTGTTTAAAGGGTATTTTGGGTGCTCCCCTTATGCCACTCCTCCAATCCTGGTGGTTCATTAGTTTGTTACCTCCTCTTTCATCATCTTCCTTCATTTGTATAATTATCAAGTTGCAATTCTGCTGATACGCCATCTCCGTTTTTTCGGACGGAACTACAGTGCCCATAATTCTTAGCGGTTGTACGTTCCGTATTCGGCATGATAATGTTCTACGGAAGTCCATTTATGTTAGTATAAATGAAAGAGAGAGATATATATCTACACATAAAAATCAGTGAATTCCATATTCATGTTATACAGAGTGCTTGTATTTAGAACAAATGTGACTTTTAATCACTTTTAATGTGACTCTAATATTATTGTAATCAAGAAGCTTATGCTTTTAAAAAAAAAAAAAAGCCTTCTGGTTTTATTTAGATAGATACAGTAGTTCTTGCTCTTCATATTATATTTCATTATTGTAATTTGATAAAATGTATATAGAGCATATTTAAAATATAATCAATTCTAATGAAAAAAAATTTAATTGACCTATATAAATAAAAAATCTGAATTCCCAGATGTAAATGTTTACACATTTAATTTAGCTCTTATATTGGGACTGAGACCAAAATAAATATGGAGTTATAATTGTATTTTAAAACTTAGTATAATAATATTAATATTGGAATAATCAAATAACATGAACCAAAAGAAAAAAATGGGAAATCATAAAAAGTGGCACAATTCGAAATCCACATTTAAACCATGTGGAGTTAGGGTGTGTAAATCGAATATCCACCGCATCTCTGCCTGGCCCAACTTCTTTATTAGGTCTTCCCCTCTCAAATTTGTCATACCTTTTTTCAGAAGGCTTAAAGGGGTTGTATGCTACTAGTGATGTCCCGAACTGTTCGCCACGAACGGTCCGCCACGGACTCCAGTCAGCTGACACATTCCAGCCAATCAGCAGCAGACCCTCCCTCCCAGACCCTCCCACCTCCTGGACAGCATCCATTTCGAAGCTGCATTCTTAGTGAGCTGTCCAGGAGGTGGGAGGGTCTGGGAGGGAGGGTCTGCTGCTGATTGGCTGGAATGTGTCAGCTGACTGGAGTCCGCGCGAACCGTTCGTGGCGAACCATGGTGAACAGTTCGGCGAACAGTTCGGGACATCACTATATGCTACCTAAAAATATACCAGTGTTAAAGTTTGGAGCCTATGCCTAAAGGCTCCTGACCATGTGAGTTCGTTATCACTCATCATTTCTCACCACTTATTGTGTTAATACTATTACACTATATATATTTTTATTCTCTCCCTGTCTTTATATGTGTGACTCCAACCACTCCAATAATTTTGAAT